TATTAAAGATTTAAGAGCAATGGTAAAAACTAATACAAACTAATATAGAGTAAGGAAGAAAAAAGAGAGAGAGCTAAAAGTGTAAGAAAGAAAGAAAAAGTTAAAAAAATAGAAAAGAAAGAAAAAAGATACAAAAAAGTGGCTTCTGATCTTTACTGCAGTTATAATCCAATTATAAATTTACCTCTTTCTCTAAAGTTACATCATGACTCTCTTTTTTCTATAATCTATCCTATCTGATAATCAAAACCATAAATCATAAGTTCATTTTTTCTGTTTTACGCAAAAAGTCCATAAGAGGTTTCCATTCAGCAATAAACATAGATATTGTCCCATGTTAAACAACTTCTAAATCATATTCATATTCTAATTTTCTCTAGTTATACCATTAGCATCTGAAGCCTTACTATTTTTCAACATTCTCACAGCATTTATGACATTTTTATCCATTTTTTCTTGGAACCTATTGTTTATAGCATTCATTTCAGTCCCAGTGTTTGACATGTTCCTATGTATCATATAGATTTCTAAGTATTCTTCCTAGTGTTACCTAACCCCAGTTTCATCCCAAATTTTTCATTACCGTATATACTCATGGATAAGTCATGAATTTTAGGTGCCAAAATGCACCCCAAAAACTGGATTTGGCTTATGCGTGGGTAGGCTTGTCTGTGAATATATATACCATAATAAGCCATGTTTATATTAAGAATACCCTCTGAATCTTAAGTGTGCATTAGTATATACTATAGACCTTAGTTGGTGGAATGTAAGCAACAGTATGTTGGTTTGCAAGGTAATACTTTTCTAAAGTACCTGTATTTCCCATTTATACTCAGGGATAAGTATATAAAATATAATGAAAATGCGGGTTGGCTTATCCATGGGTAGTGCATTTTTCATGGTATTTTGGCTAAAAATTCGAGAATCTGCTTATCCATGAGTATATATGGTACTTCTATTTTTAATTCCATTCACACTGCTTTGCGGTCCTTGTTTGGCCCTTTTCACCACTTGCAAAACATTTGTGCTGAATTATTCATAATTAAACCTACATCTTCACTTCCCAATATGTATTTATTAACTCTACCATACAAGATCAGATCCCTTTAATTTGTAATTATTTCATCCTTCCCTTTCTCTTAATTTCACAGACCTGTAATATATTTATTTCTCTTGTTTCTGTTTCATGTGTTAATTCATGTTCTTTACCATTAACTCCTCTTACAATCCAATTCTCAGTTCTGCATATACCATAGTCATCACCAGATGGGCTTATAGATATTGCCTTCCACCTCCCATGGTAACTTTGGTCAATCAAGATTTTTACTTTTGCTTGTAGGCTAGGTTGCCAACCTTCGTGATACCTTTCCAATATTCAGCATTCTGTACTAATGGTAAGGGTACAAAATTGGTCAGTTTGGGTACATTTTGTCCAGTATGCAACAAGCACAACCAAAGCCCAATTTTACCTGAACCTGTGCAAACTACTGTATGCAAGCTAAGATCTCTAAACTAGAGATTACCTTGCAAGCCAACATACTGTTGCTTACATCCCACCAACTAACGTCTATAGTGTATACTCACACACACTCAAGATTCAGAGGATATTCTTAATACAAACATGATTGATTAGGTAGAAACTATAATGCCTATACTGGGATATCTGTTTTCTAATTACCTTTTCAAATAATTATTTATAAGTTCCTTGAAATCAATTTTCACTGCCTCTGTCACGTGTCAGATTTAACATTTCCCACTAGTATATCTGCAGGAGTTTGTCTGTTCTGCTTTGAGGAGCTTGATGAAATACTTATTATTTATGTCAGTAGTTTCTCAGAAACCTACTTTTCAGAACAAAGGCTTTTGCAGTGATTAGTAAATCAAACATTTCTCTCCATATCTTATTATTCTTGCAACTTCCCTTTGAGATTTTGTTTTTTTTCTTCTACCAAAGGTTACATGACAATGACTAAGGCCTCTACAAATGTAGACTTCAATTCCCAATAATAATCACTTCCAGAATTCTGGGAGCTGACATCCACATATAAAGCTTTTACATAATGCTATGAATTTGATATACCTGGAAAAACATAAAAGGCAAATGTATGCAGTGAGAATGGATTAACTAAGAAGTGTATATCATAAGACAAGAAGAGATAGGGACAAGAGTGAATAGTAGGCAAATACTTGCGGATTGAATACAAAAGTAAGTGACCATTTGAAAATAAACATCTTGAAATAATGAGTAAGGATCAAATCACAAAACAAATACATGAAGGAAGAGTGAATAGGTTGAGAGGATGGGGAAAATCAAGAAGGTTATAGTTTGATGGAAGAAGTAAGGATGGTTTGTAAGGACAGAAAGATATGAAGAGATGTAGTCCTGTAAATAAGTGTTCGTGTAAACTTGATTTAGTTAAATTGTCTTCCCTTTTAATTTCTGCCTCAATTTATTTTACTTACTACTTCTTACTCTTTTGCTACACTTTGCATAATAGAGTGATGGGTATGTATGTATATATGAAGCCACAAGTCTATGCCCAAATTAGTGAAGGTAGGATTAAGGATTTGAAGAGTATTTGGGAGATAAGAAAAGAGGGGTAGTTTGCTCTTGCAAAAATATTAACTTTTCAAATATTTAGTTCTTATTGATATAGAATATACTCAGTGTACTAAAATAGCACAGTATTTTGGTTTGGGTTTCTCTTAATGTATAGGGTGGTCTTCTCTAACAGTGGGAAGAACTTAAAAATGGGTTTATGAAAGGCCTAAGTCTGCTGAACTTGGGGGATCAGAAGGTCAGGAACTCATTCAGACAGTATGGAAGAAACTTACAGAAATAAGGGGCCAAGAAGCCCTTCCAGTATGGTGGAAACTCTCATGTATGTTGTACATCCCTCAAAGTTTTGTTATTTTTGGTTGTTTCTTTCAGAGTGATTTGTGGTCTTTAGGGATAACAGCCATCGAAATGGCAGAAGGAGCTCCTCGTGAGTATATCCCAGTTTCATGCTTTATCATTGTTTGGATTGCTGCTTCTTAAGATTCATTATGCAGTAGTAGAAGCTCCAATTCTGTGTGATGAGCTATATGCAAATATTCCCTAAGTAAAGAGTTGTTGAATAAAGTGATGAATTCAGAAACAAATGTCTGTCTATTGTAATAGGCTCAAAGCACACATACAGACATGACTCATGTTGAGTGTTTGCTTAGATTGATTGACAATCTTATATTAAGTAGACCACACAATGAGATACTTTGAAACAAGCACTAGGAGTTGAGCTAAATTTCTTCCCTTTCTCCTGTATGTCATATTAAACTCACTTTTAATTACTAGTTCTATGTCTTTTAATTTGTGTAAACATAGATACAGTCATATAACGGATACAGCAAAGCAGTTAAAAGAGTTACAGATAAATAAATAGTAAGTTAGAATTTTACCTCTGACATAAAATTGTTGGATGGCTGGAGACATGACATTTAAATCAATTTTAACTATTGCTTCCTATTATCAAAGTCATCTCAAAACTCTGCATAACAAGAATTTAAAAATAAAGCATTAAAAGTAGAAAACATAATGTAAATGCTGCATCAGTTAAAACATTTCAGTATCAAAAATTAAAACTCAACTCCTGTTTAGCCCTAAAAACAGAAGACTGTGGGGGATGAAATAGAGGACAATCCTCTTCAAGTATCTAATGGAATGTCATGTTGAAGAAGGTCATAGTTTTCTGTTGTCTTGGAGGGTAGCACACAGACTAATGGACTTAAGTTACAGGAAGGCAGATTCCAGCTGAATGTTAATAAAAAGCTTCTAACAGTAAGAACAGTTTGAAAGTGGTTACCTAGGGAATTAGTGGAATCATAAACTTGGCACCCATCTGTTAGGGATGCTTAAATTCCTGTACTGAGCAGGGAATTAGATTCAGTGACCTAAATAGCCCTTTGCAACTTCATGATTCTTAGCATGGCTACCCTTATCTATATAGAAGAACTTGCAGTAGCCGACAGTGATGGCAACTGACTATGGGAGGAATTATCTACCTTAGGTAGTAATAAGACACAAATCAGTGACTGGGTTTCCATATCACACTAAGCTACAGTTAAAGCATTATTTGTTGAATAAGCCATAGTAGACAGGGATTACACAACACACTGAGCCTCCATGGGTCATAAACCTCAATGCAAGATTTATACTGTATGCTAAGCAATAAACAGGCAAACCATTTTATTTATTTATAAGATTTATATGGCTTGCATGACCGTGACTCTAGGTGGTGTACATTAATAAAGCCAAAGGAAAACTGAAATTACAATTAAAACCAACAGTGTCAACCAAAGCAAAGCCAAAACTCGACAGTTGTACCGCATATAGTGGGGACCCATCAACACACACTTCTCAAAGATGGGCTCCTCTATCCTGCCTAAAACCCACAGGAAAAACCAAGTTTTTACAGTCTTCCTAAAAGCTAACAGATTCAGGGCCAACCGAAATTTGGAGGAGGGGAGAGATGGATGTACTCCTCCCAACCTGAGACTGCCATAGGTCATTGAAAAGTGCAACCAGTACTGTTTTGGCCTGAACCCAGATTGAAAGGGGTCCAGTTAATCCATTTCTTCCAGGCCCTTTGGAGCTACACGTTGACCACTTTGTCAATAACCTTCTCTAAAAAGGGAAAGTTAGAGACAGGATGAAAATTGTGCAGCTCTGTTAGATCCTGCAAATGACTTCTTGAAGAGGAGGAGGACCACCACCTCCTTAGGAGCTGGAACCACCCACTCTCTCAAAGATGTATTTACCACAATGTGAATCCAACCATAGAACCCCTCCCTGGAGGTCTTAAACAATTAGGAAGAACATGGATCTAAAGTACAGGTGGTCACACTGACAGCCCAAAGGCTCACACTCATCCAAGGTAATCAATTAAGACACTGCCTCAATCAACTCCATTGGAATTGCATAGGCAGAGTCCAACTCAAAGCAAATCTGAATGACTTTATCCACCAGGTACCGAGAGTAGAGAGACCCTTCCAGTGCTTCTCTGCCTTCCCCTTATCCAGGAGGGACCAGGTCATCCTGAACCAGGCATTAGCTGGCATTCAGCAGACACAATAAGAGGGGTGGAATAATTACATTGCCACTCTTACTGTCACAAGTTAGTCCTTTGGAAGGACCTCAAAGTCAGTCTTCATTTTCTTCCAGTGGCCTTCTAGACATCCTTCTGCTGCTTTATCATTCAGAGATCCTCTGAAAAACAGGAGAACTACTGGAATGCACAGGTAGAGAGAGTTTGCACAGGGGCCATCAAAGGCCATCTTTCATTCCAAACAACAAATAAGCAGTGATTTGTCTCAGTCAAAGTATGCATCAGAGCCTCAGGGATAACCTCGCTTATCTTATGACTAACTGGGATCTGTGAACCTAGTCACTAAATTTATTTTCCTGTATCACATGAGAATCTGAGCCTAGCAGTGAGTATCTTTACTAGAATGTTCTTTTTCTTCCATTATACTTGACAATTGGTTTAATGTCTTCTTTTTGTGATTTTTTTCAGCCCTTTGTGACATGCATCCCATGAGAGCCTTGTTCCTCATTCCCCGAAACCCAGCCCCCAGGTTGAAGTCAAAGAAGTGGTGAGTGTATCTTTCATCTGCTCTCCCTAGGTGCACGCTGTAAGAAGCCATTATACCTTACTTCCTCTTATCTCAACTGCAAGGATGAAATGCTTCCTGTTCAAGTTGAGGACAATGTGAGTGCATCTACAAGAATTTAAAAATCTTGTGGGAGTAGAAGATTTTTCATATTGGCATTGCAAACCTTTGTCATAGATTGCTGAGCAGTGATAAGGCAAAGAGAGGATCCAAACTTGGAAAATGTGGTCCCAATCCACATCAGTTCTCTGCTTAGTGGCTGCCAGTTAGTAAAACCAACAACATCTTTTCATTACATATTTCGGCCTGGCTTGGGAGAATCCTGAGCATCTTCATGAGCTGTTTTGACTCTAAGGAAGAATAGGACTCTTAGAATCAGTCATACATTTACATGCATATATTAATTAGGGGTTACAAATCTGTCGAGATTCTGTTTGAATTTGTGATTCAATCTGAATTTGCAATTCAGATCAAATTGATTAGTTTCATTTCAAAGACTTGATTAGACAAAAATATCTTTGTACATGTGAAGTCCACTGAATCTTCAGACTGATTTGAAAGCACCTGATTCTGTGTGACACATCATATTACTTTGACAATTCAGTTCAAAGAGAGTAGTTTGATCAAATTATCTTATAGTGAAATATTCAAACCAAAGTTTTCCATGGTTCTAATTTTGAATCATGATGCAAATCTCCATGTTAGTCAAAAAGCAGATGATGTGATCAAACCACCCATTTTTTATGTGCATTGCACCTCTGACACACATGAAAAACAAGCAAAGGTTCTACTCCATCTTCATGGCTGCCATCGTGACCTTTTTTACCACTTTGCAAACACCCTGCTTATTAACCTTCCACTTTTAATTTTCAAGCAACATTTAAAAATGTAGTTTGTTCAGAGCACTTTCGTGTCTATGGCTATAAAGTCCAAGGAGAAGCGGTCTTAAGTAGGTTTAGATTGTTTAGAGAATGTGGGAGTGTCTGGCTTGAGCTTGCTCCTAAACCCTTGGGATGGAGAAATTTGGAGGGAAAAAATGTAGTGTGCTGGCTGCAAACTCCTTGGCAGCTGAAGATTCAGAAGCTAAGTCAGGGAAATCCACGGATAAGTAGGGAAGAATTTGAAACTTTGGTGTTCTAAACTTAAAAAAGAAAAAATGAGCCTAGGAAAAAAATAGTTCTGTTTTATACTTGCCTCAACATCTTCCTGACACTTTCAGATAGTTTTAATTCACGTTAAGATGAATTATTTTTGGTCCAGGCAGCCCAACATCAAAATGTTTTTTGTTTTGGAATTGTTTGCAGGGGCCCTCTTTTCACTCTTTGCTGCATGTCAATTTGTAGTTAGTTATGCCAAGCAGTTGTGAAGTGTTACGGCTGTTTTTCTGTAGTAGGCTTTAAAGGCTTGTGGGTATGAGAGTGTGTGTGCATTTGGTAAACCAAGTCTGAGGTTCTGTCATACTATAGATCATCAGGATATGAGTAAAATAAAAGCTGAATTGGTTGGTAGTATCAGCCTAGTGGGCAGTGATGTCCACAGGATCCAGCACTTGCATAAAAATGACAAAAGCCATCTAGTGTCACTGCAATGCAAGCTCTACCTCTTTTGTATGTACGTGGAATATCGTAATGCCTATACAAAATGGACAGAGCTTATGCTGAATTGCCATGAAACGGTTTCGTCTCACACACACATGCACACACATACCCCAGTGCATCTATTAAAGGGAAATTCTTTGGCCATTGCAGAGGCCTTCTGTTAATAATATAAGAATAGATTAGGTAGATCAAGCCAAGTCCACATTTTGTTTCTCACAGTGGCCGATCAGATGCCTCTGTGATGATTATAACTAGAGATGAAAGCGGGTGTCTCTCCTGCTGTTGTTCCTCTGCAACTGGCATGCTGGCTCCAAACCAGAGGTAATATTAAGTCTCTAAGACTAAGTCCCTTGATACTCAACCTTGCTGAATTTATCCAGTCTTCTTTTAAAGTCTTTCATGTTAATAGTTGTCATCAAGTCTTGCAATAATCAATTCTACAATTTATGTGCTGTATGAAAAAGTACTTTCTTTTGTTTGCTCTAAATTTCCTTCCAATCATCTCCATTGGCTGACCCTTGAGGATAAAGTTTTAACAGGAGAACGTTTTCCGTTGCTAGGCAAGATATAACTCCACGGAGAAGCCTCTGAAGTTCACCTTTCATACCAAAAGCTAATAGTGTTTCATAAGATATTGAGGCAGGTAAGAGAAGAAGGTCAAGAGCAGAATGAACAGTCAAGATAGTCCATATCTATAAATTCTAGTAACTTCTTGATAACTCAAGGTCCAACACCTGGACATTCCCTTGTGGGTGGGTGGCACAACAATACCTCAGTTTGTGGAGTTCTTGGTGCTTTCTGAACTTGGTTGTTTGCTTGCAGATGTTTCATTACCTGACTAGGTAACATTATCAGTGCTAGTGAGTGTGGGGTTTGCTCCCTGTTTATATACAGTAGTTTGCCCTGCCAGTGTTGCTGGGGATGTGGTTTTCTTTCCTTGGAGAGACAGGAGAAACACTCACTCCACACTCACTAGCGCTGATGATGTTACCCAGTCAGGTAATAAAATGTCTGCAAGCAAACAACCCAGCTCAGAGAGCACTAAGGACTCCACAGTTCAACCCTGAGTTGCATATATTCTCTTCTATTGAATACCTCAGTTTTGCTGAAAATATTTCATGCTATTTTTAGCAAGAAAAAAGGATGTATGTGTTTTGACATTACTTTTCCAAAAAGGATTGGATACTTAGGAAAGGTACTTATGACTTACCACTCTGAAATAGTGATGAATATGATACAGTAGTGATAGAAGGCATGCTGCAACCACCTTATGTAACTCTTGCTGCTCTTCCTAGTAGCAAAAGAGAGAAGAGAAGGGAGATAATCCAGCTATGCAAAGTAGTCAGCAGAAGCTGGACAGCTGGGTATGTCAGATAAACACAGCTGTGTATCTTCTTCAACAATCCATCTCTCCTACTTTGCCAGTAGGTCAGGAATGTTATTGTTTACTGTAAGCTGCTCACACAGAGACATGTATATTAGATGGGCAACTATATAAATCAAATAAATAAACAAACTTGTCCAAGAAAAAGACAAGTAGGAGGACCAAATTGGGAGCAAAGTGAAAGGGGAAATTAAAATCCATGCAGAGTCTTGGTACAAAAGGAGCGGCCTGTTTATTAATTCTGTTGTTCTTCTGGAAATGCTAATATAAGCAGGTTTTGTGGTTAGCAGAAAGTTCTTTTTAACTTCTTGCTGCTTTCCTTCACTTTCTCTTCCTGGGCAAGCCCATGGTGAATTTGACTTGTGGAAAATCTCTATCCCAATTTTCTTTTACATTTTTTCCTATTTTCTCTAACAAAGTTCCCCTGACATTTGCTGCCAACCTGTACTGCTGAAAAGTTTAGCGCATGACTTCTCGAATCTGGTAATCAAGGAATTGGATACGGTGCACTTATTTCACTCAGTGTATCACAAGTCCCCCCTTTTTATAATTTTAAAAGATACGTGTGTCCTATAAAGTAGAAACGTGCTGTAACTGTAAGATAAAAATGCAAAATTATTTGGCTAACATTGAATATATCCTGGCTTACGACTACAATTACCAAAATTCCAAGTCAGACTGGTCAGTTGCATTTCTGGGAGCTATAAATCCCAGTCCATCAGGAAGGCATCCGATTGGTGCAGGAATTGAAATGCACTTTATTTTCATGCAAGCATGTATGCATGCACGTGCTCACGCGCGCGCATGGTCCTTCTTCCTCTCCCTCTCTGCTGTCTCAGCCATTTTGATAGTTAATGCTGGCTCTGTCTCAACTGTGTTTTGCAAGTAATCAGTCGGGAATACTGTTGCAGCAGTGCCTGGCCTTCACTGAGGAGGGATCCTATGGTGGTTGGAAACTAGTAAACAACCTCCTTCACAGAACAGGGGTTTGGTTTGATGGCCTGTGAAAGCAGCATGGGACATGGTGCACATTTATAGCTGCAGCCCCTCACAAAGTTCCTTGCAATTAATAAATTTTTACAACACCCCTTCTCAAACACAAATGCACTTACCACGAGAAGACCTTTTGCTAGAAGTAAATGTCTTATTAAAGCATTCTTACTCCAAGGTCTGGCTAGCACCCTCTATTAATGATGTTGTTATTTACCTACATAACCTTGTAATTATGCTTAGAGGAAAAATCTGCTCTAGAGTGGTACAGTAAGTCTTGTGGATAAGCAGCATTCTTTGCTAACTTAATGGCTTAAAGGACCAGACTCTCTTTCCTTTTTTTTTAATAATGATTTTTATTGAAGTTTAAAAATGCAGAGATAAAAAACTAATACAAACGAAGAAAAATTTAAAAAGAAAAACAGAAAGAATAAAAAGTGCAAAGGGAAAAGGGGGAAAGGAAAAAGGTAGGTAGGTAGGTAGAGATAAGATAGATAGATAGATAGATAGATAGATAGATAGATAGATAGATAGATAGATAGATAG